ACGTTGCAGCAATGTATGTAGTTGACAATATTTGGAACTTAGTAATTTTGTGGTTTGGGTAAAGACAATTGTCAATCGCATTAAAGGACAATAATATACGTACTGTTTATGGCGCTTCTGAGTGAGATCAGGAACCGAGTTGGATAGACGTCTATTCAATAAACTTAATCTACTTTTCGTTTTATCTCTGTTTATCCCACTATCGTCGTTAACAGTCTGTTGAGGTTGGTTGATTGCATCATCTGAGATACTAATCTCCTTTGATTTTGCTAATGACGGTCGTTCTTGTACATCTTTCTCGCTATTATGAAAAATATGGTAAGAAATTCATTTCAGACATTTACTTATCATGAACAACATCTCTACAACGTACATCATGAATTTGGAGGGATGAGAAAAGATGCCATGATTGGGTTTACAACAAAAATATCGAATGCCGTTTACTGAACCATCGTTTTTGCCCATACTTGTGTCCAACTCTACTCCTATCCAAAGACTAAAGATACAAACATTATTTATTATAAATTGTCTAGTTACAACGGTCATTCCTACCACAACTTACCCGGATGAAAACTGTGTTTCACCAACATATCTAGTGATACCTCTTCTCCTGTTATCATTCAACATAACAAGTCTATCCCCGACCTAATTATAAACCATAAAGAAATATTTTATGGAGAAACATAAAAACCGTGAAAAATGAATTTCTACACCATTATGTGAACACCTTGATGTTCGTGTTTTCCTCTGTTTTCTGTGTAGGTTGAGGTGAAGGTGACCGGGAAGAAGAACGAGAGCCTGGTAACGAACCACTTGTCGAACGTTTGGAAGGTACGATACGTGTGAGGCTCGTGTTAAGTTTAACAGAGTTAGGTCGTGTTTTTATCGCATGATTATGTGGTTTCGGTATGGAGATTTTAGAAACAGGACAAAATAATCCTAAAAGACAACATTTATCATGTTGAATTAACCATACGAATGACAAACATAAATATTCTACTTTATACCGTGTTTTGGTTTACAGTGAAAGTAGTTTTTCCCGCCTACTGATCCATCGTTCTTTCCAACTGGATCGTTGAGTTCAACTCCAGCCCACTGACCTTTAGCGAAATCTGTACTGCCACAGTATCGTAATATACCCATCTAAAATAAAAAAAACTAAAACCTGTGACGTATGAACCTTGATGAAAACCTTTGACGTCTGAACCTTGATGAAAACCTGTGATGTGTGAACCTTGAAAAAAAATTGTGACGTCTGAACCCTGATGAAAACCTTTGACGTCTGAACTTTAATGAAAACCATCGACGTATGAACCTTGATGAAAACCTGTGACGTATGAACCCTGATGAAAACCTTTGACGTCTGAACTTTGATGAAAACCTTTGACGTCTGAACCTTGATGAAAACCTTTGACGTCTGAACTTTGATGAAAACCTTTGACGTATGAACCTTGATGAAAACCTTTGACGTATGAACCCTGATGAAAACCTGCGACGTCTGAACCTTGATGAAAACCTTTGACGTCTGAACCTTGATGAAAACCTTCGACGTCTGAACCTTGATGAAAACCTTTGACGTCTGAACCTTGATGAAAACCTTTGACGTCTGAACCTTGATGAAAACCTTTGACGTCTGAACCTTGATGAAAACCTTTGACGTCTGAACCTTGATGAAAACCTTTGACGTCTGAACTTTGATGAAAACCTTTGACGTATGAACCTTGATGAAAACCTTCGACGTCTGAACCTTGATGAAAACCTTTGACGTCTGAACCTTGATGAAAACCTTTGACGTCTGAACCTTGATGAAAACCTTTGACGTCTGAACCTTGATGAAAACCTTTGACGTCTGAACCTTGATGAAAACCTTTGACGTCTGAACTTTGATGAAAACCTTTGACGTATGAACCTTGATGAAAACCTTTGACGTATGAACCCTGATGAAAACCTGCGACGTATAAACCTTGATGAAAACCTTTGACGTATGAACCTTGATGAAAACCTGTGACGTATGAACCTTGATGAAAACCTGTGACGTCTGAACTTTGATGAAAACCTGTGATGTGTGAACTTTTAACAAAAACTGTGACTTGTGATTTCCTCACAAGAATTGTGTTAACAAACCTTAGTGCCACCAACTATAACGTGATCACCAATTTTCAATCCAATTATATCCGACATATTTACAGATGAATCCTGGCAACGATTGAGAAATATATAAAACGCTGTTGAAATCACGCGATGTGAGAACTAAGAAATGTTGTTCTAAGAAACTTACTGTAGCTGACTCCATCCCTGATTCACTACCACTTGTCTCGGCCTCATTTAGTAATCTTCTTAGTTTGTTGGCAATAACCAACGATGGCGAAGAACGCTCAAAAGTATTTGCTAAAAGGTGATTTCAATACCTTGTTACTACACTCATCAAACACGTAAATGTGTTATCACACTCAATCTGCTACGTTGGTGAGGTAAGCAACATACATAACACAACAGATGAGTTTACCTTCTGGGATTGTATTTAATGCTGTTCTATTCTGATCATCTTTGACAAATGCATTGGCGCCATGTTGCAGCTATTTGAAGAGTTAACAGTACATCATGACTGACATGAAATCTTTACATTACTCCAAGATGATTTTAAAATCGAATTAAATGAAAACCTAGCGACTTACCAAACACTTGGCAGAGTCCAAACACAGATTGCTCGCGGCTATATGAAGTATTGTTCCATTATCAAACCCAGAACTAGTGGCGTCAATATCTGAGAAGGCAAAAACGATCCACCATCACATTCATACAAATATATAAATTTTTAATATCCCCACCTCTACCACCGCTGGCTTTTAACAGTACTCTGATCACGGGCGCACAGTTAAAGAAAGCAGAATAATGTATGGGAAGCATGTCCGTCCATCGACATCTTATAGAAGGATCTGCTCCCTATAGTAAATCCATTATTTTATAACGTAACTCCGATACTAGAAGAAAACTTTAAAAAAAATGTGTTGTATCGATGAATAGATGAAACAATTGGCAATGTCGTGGATGTCAATAATAGCGTTCCAGTTACCTGAGAAATGAGCTCAGTAACCAAAGCAGTTGCATTATCAACATCACCAATACCCACTGTAAGAAAAAAACGTTTCTAAAGTACATTAAGCATACACAGGTATGCTAAAGTAATTTATCTCACCAGATCCAGATTTACAAGCATAATGAAGTAACGTCATGTCAGTTAAACCATCGCGATCATTGATACCTCCACCACGTCGTGTTATCTGAATGGTAAATACATTACGTCATCACCTTGGGTTATTTAATCTTCCCCATCTTATCTCTCTATCGCTTATTCTTTAGAAAATGGAGTATTTAAAGCGTGATTAACGTATCTAAGATCACAGAAATATGTATTCATCCAACCTCGTGAACAAATTTTTCCAAATTTTTTTGCACTTGCGGTACCCATTGTCTCACGATAGCGAATATTTCGGATATGGATGTGTCCTCCTGAAATTCGTGGTAAAAGCTCAATGGGAATCATAAATTACGGTTCTACAACGGTAGTTTTAGATTTCCTACGTGGGAGTAATGTAATCATAAAGAAAATAGCGACATCGTTTACCATTTTTATGAGCACTGGGTAAATATTTTACTGGTAAATTTTTTAAAGAATTATCACACATAAATTCCTCCATTTCAAAGTTGTGTACTGTTTAGGAAGTGAAGAATTATTTTCAGCGAGAACACTTCAAGGAGATGCACAACGAAGGTTAGTATAAAATGTCTTTTAAGTGTAGAAATGAAAAGTTGTTGTAAAAATGTTGTCAGCATTGTACATACTTTGACAAAATCTCCATACAACCTTCACAGTCTGGATCAAAAATGTTGGTTCATTTTTGGGCACTGAAAGAAAAGCTCTTCATTGAATGGAGGGAAGATAAAGGGTGTCCTAACCAGTAGCATTTTGCTTCCTTAATCAAGTAAATACAAAAACTAAATCTGATTCTCATTGGATAATTAAATCATTTAAATGTCGATTCCTGAATTAAATACAGCCCCTATCTTCCTTATGAATATCTATTTACTATATAATTATTAACCTGTTATTTAGCAAACCAAAAGTAAGCACCCGAAATGACAATGTTCTATCATAGCAACTGAGATCTAAATACATATTTATTTCTTTAAGAAAATAACATGAAAAAAATACAACACCTTATCACAAGTAGGAAAATCAGTGATCGGATGAACAACTGATGTCCTCCTCTATAACAAACATTAAGTGCAGGTATATTGGTAAAAACAGGTTGTGTACAAATTCAGCATACACAAGTCTCGGGATATGACAAAAGAAGGCAGACATGAAATTTTACATCAAGCATTTTGCCATAAATTCAAGACATGATGCACCTATGACACATACATTTATTATACAAAATATTTAGCAAAAGTGATGGTGTTTCATAGCATTTTATCATTATGACAACTAAAATATACTTCAATTTCATGATTTAAGTTCATGACCTAGTTTCATGTATAAGTTCACAAGAAGTTATCTTGTAAAGAAATAATTTCAAATTACCCGCTACATAAATACATTATAGGAACAATGATGTATTTGAGTCATTTCACGATGCGTATGAATGTTTACAAACCTTTTCTGGCATTCTTGTAAGTTTTAGTGTTCTACAAAGTAATTTTAGGTAAATAAGTTACAACAAAACAGTGTTTTTTCTTTGACGAAAAGAAATTCATAATAGTTTATTAGTTCTTTTATGACAACTTTAAATGATCTGCGTTGTTTACAGAAGTCTGAGAACTAATTATCTCACACAGTGATCTCTAAAGGCTGAGACACACTGTCGCTGTCGCTATGTCGTTACCGCGCAGCGACGGGATTGCGCGGTTACAAAGCCGTGTCGCTGTGTCGTTTCAACACAGCCAGCGAATTCGCTGGAGCACATGAAATCGCTGTGTCGCTAGGACAAATTTTCAAAATGGCGTCACTAGAAGAAGCACTTATAAATTCTTTTCGCGCGTATCCTGCTCTTTACGACATGTCTTTAAAAGACTATAAAGATGAAAAATTGAAGGCAAATATCTGGAAAAAGATAGCCGAAGAAATGCGTGCAATCGGTTTTGATTTCTCAGGTAAATAGTCATTTCGCAAAACATGTTTTCTTATCTCACAATATTTTTTGTCAGTATCGTCTGACCCAGTCAAATAAATATTTATTTTTCTCTTATTAAGCAAACGAACTAAAAGATAAAATGAAAAATTTGCGAGACACATATAGGCGATGCAAAAAGAAGCATGATGCAGCTATCAAATCTGGTGCTCCTGCTTCCTCAACACCAAACTGGGAGTTTTGGTCTATTTTGACCTGGCTGGATGATTTCGCAAAACGACGCCAGTATGTAATTTTTGAAATTACACTATGACTTTCTAATAACAATGTAGGCAAAAATAAGCTATTTCTATGAGTAATTGATCATTTTATTCATAGGACAATCTCGAATGTTGTTATCCCTGTGGAAGACCAACTTACGTCTTCTCAAATCCAGGAAGACTCTGAGGAGATAGCTGAGAGTGTGCTTGCTGACAGTTCATCAAGCCAATCAACAAATTTGTCCAGCACATCTGAAATTGTACGATGCAAGGAGAGGAAGGCTGAAGACATGTCACCATATCAAACAAAGTTGATTGGGTATCTAGAAACTCTTCACAAAAAACAAGTTGAAGAGCCAGAGAGTCAAGATGAATATGACTTTTTCGGAAAGAGTGTTGCTGAGCAAATTAGGAAGCTACCTACTCCATATGCTAGGGCTAAAGCCAAGAAGGAGATTCAGGATGTTCTTTTTAAGCTGGAGTTTCCAGAAAATTAGTTTGAGGTTTTTTAAGTGTTTCTGTTACAATCATTATTTTCAAATAAAAAAAAAACTAACAAAATAAACCGACTCTTTTCCAAATATTCTATTTATGTTATGATGTACGAAGGACATAATCCACTTGCCAAGATAACTCTCCTTCAGATGACATAAAATAACATGCAAAATCTTCTCTTACTCTAAGAGCTGCTTTTGTTTGGTTTCTAGAGCTCTGAGCAATGGGTTGAAGAGTAGCTTTTTCCATCTCAGCTCTCCAACTCCCTTCATTTATTTGGCCATTTTCATCCACTGTATCTGTGGAGCCAGGAGGTGTGTAACTTGCTGCAGATTGCTTTGCAGAAAGTTGTGAAGAACACATATAGCTTTAGTCAATTTGACCATGTTGTTTGGCTCAGCAACAATAGCAGTTTTCAAGATTCTCCACTTGGAAACCATGATGCCTACAAATATTGACATAATCAAATTATGAAGTATTGATATATACAACAATGTTTTTATTTGAGTTTACCAAATGTATTTTCAATTGTCCTTCTAGCTCTTGATAATCTGTAATTGAATACTTTTTGCTACACAGTCCAAAGATTTACCAGGATATGGTCGCATAATCCATGTCTTCAATGGAAAAGCCTCATCCCCAACAATGCAATATGGCATCTTCTTGCCATCATTTATCAGAGGTCTGGGGTCTGGTAACTGGACTTTTCCTTTAAAAAATTGCACTTTATGTATATATACAAAATATATATGTTTTGCATTTTAAGATCAATTACATGTGCATACCATTTAGGAATGCTGATCCAAATGTTGTATTTTCGAAGACTCCAGAGTCACTCCACCGGCCAGATTCTCCAACATCAACATACACAAACTGATAATGGGCATCACACATTGCCATCAGCACAATGGAATGAAACTTTTTGTAATTGAAGAATGCTGAGCCAGAGTTTCTAGGAGCCTGAATTGCAATATGTTTCCCATCCAAAGCACCAATACAATTTGGAAAATTCCAGACAGTAGAGAATCTATTTCAATTGAAAAACTAGGTCACAAACAGTAAAGAAACTTTGTTTCAAGCTCAGGAACTCACTCCGTGCAATAAATCAACATGATAATGAGATAGAAACTCACCCTTGCTCAATACCCTGCCATTCTAATGCACTCGATGGTGCTTTTAAATACATTGGCATAAGTACAGACCACAAAACCTCACATGTATCGTATATTATGCTGCGAACTGTACTTAAACCACGACGATATGCAAAGGCCACTGACTGAGGCGAATCTCCTGTTGCCAGTCTACGCAAAGTGATGGCTAGCCTTTCTCCTGGTGAAACTGACTGCAAATGAGTATTTTGCCTTCTTAATGAAGGACCAACTAAGCTCAAAAGGAAATCAAAGGTCATTTGATTCATTCTGAAGTAAATAAAGAATTGTTCTTCGTCATTCCTCAATTCTTGAACTAAGTTTCCAAAGTCACCTTGTTCGCGTTGTCGTCGGTTGATATCTCTCACCCAGCAGCGCCTCTTACGAACTACCCGTCGGTTTTGTTTGTTTTCTTCCTCGTCCAACTCGTTTAAAACAATTGCTATTAATATATCTCGTAAGTTCTGGTTCGACGCCATACTGAAATGAACCGCCAAATTCGTATTTCCCGCTAAAATTCTCTCTAGGGGGACTGGTACGTGCTTAAAATCAAGTCGCTTTGCCTGTTGCGCTAGCGACAGTGTGTCTGTCATCATTTTTCGTGTCGCTTCGTCGCTCTGTCGTTTCACCGTAACGACCAAGCGACAGCGACAGTGTGTCTCGGGCTTTAGATAGCACAGAAAGCAATCTAAATTGGCTATCTTCCGCATTTTAAAATTTAGAACTCTGAGTAATACCCATTTAGAATGAGCGAAACGGGTGTAAATTGTCAGTGAGGAGAGTTTTCATCGAGTATTTTCGGGAGAAAGACGAATGCGACTCTGCGGACATTACGTCATTCGAGTGTGATAGTGTGATGTTGTGTGATGTATCACAATATTGCTAGCCAAAGTAGCAAAAAATATATCGCGCATCAGATGAAAACGTAAGAATTCACCATATTATAGATATTGCTGTTCAAAAGGAATGGAATCATTGTATCATTGTGTATTAAATTAGGCAAATTTTAACTACAATTAAGTTATTATTTATTCTACCTTGATATACAGCGTGTAAAAAGAAGAAATCCGAGACTCTGGAGAAAGTTCTGAATGATGGTTTAGCCTTGTTGGCGAAAGAAAAAGGATCAAAATGTCGGGGGAAAAAGCCTTCTCATTTTTGCATAGTGCAAGTTGGTTGTAAGAGGTTGACCCACACGCCTTACCGCTGCCGTCAAGGATCAATTAAGCAAAATGGTAATGTTGATATTTAGTATTTATATTAAAATTTACTATCTTCAGTAGTATGTTGAGATTGTTGTTCTTGTTTGCAATTTTATGCTAAATAATATGTAGTATGCGTGTGTAACTACATCATGCTATGAAATTTTGTACTTGAAATATTGACTGTACAATTTTGCTGCTTTAAATCATATATGGCTCAAACAATTTTGTCCAGTGTCCTTAGCAGATTTGACTATTTAGTTTCTTATGGGTAAGCAGAAAGACAACTGAGTAAACTGTCATTACATTACCATGCATGGTTGTACCTAAAACTGTTACAGGTCAATGTTGTTTAAGTTAGGTACTGTATAAGAAATTGCATTGTAAATTTATATTAGATAACCAGCAGTATGATAGCTCTGTGGCTGATGACTTTCAAGTAAATGATGAGCACAAGCAAACAGACGTTGATATTGGTAAGCATCAATGTATGTGTATAATATTAAGTTAAATGTAATAGATTTGTCTAATGATTGCTCATGCTTGAAATGCTTTTGGTAAAAGTAATAATTGCATTTGAAATCAATAATTGCAATAATTTGTTGAAATGCATGTATGTAGCTCTATCCACTTTGATATTGAGCACCTTTATTTGAAATTGTCTTAGATCATATACCGTCTCATTTAATCAGAAATTGTCCACAACAAGCTCACTCAGCTAACAATTTTTAATTTCTTTACTGGTTAAATATTTTATAATATAAGTCATTATTGTTTTGTAGAGCTAGAGAATCTTATATTTGAATGCAGAGGACTTTTGGCTTCAGAGAAAGAGGATGCCAAGAAATGGTCTGATCGCATGGAAGAGCTTCATTCTCTTTGGGAAAATAATAGATCTACCATATTCGAAACCTTGATCCAATGTGAATCAGTTGATAAAGGCACACCATGCTTCAATTGTAGGGAATCTCCAGGCTTGATAAAGTGTCATCAGTGTGGTAGTAACTGGCCAGTCTGTGTTGAATGTGATAGGAAAATTCATGAAAGAAAGCCATTCCATGATAGACATGGGTGGATGGGTAATCATTTCAGACCACTTCAGCCATCACATTCATTGGATAAAAATGGACAAATAATTGAAGTTGGTATGTCATGTAAATATGGTAAAAGTATGTTAAATGTCATATGCACTATGCTAACTGATGTCAAAATCAACCTACATATGTAGCTACTTATAGGTATATAATTTGGGGTGATATAATTCTATTATTTATACAAAAAGGTTTTATCTCCCAGTCTAATGATGAAAATTTATTATATTTGTTTCTTAGATTGCTATGTTTCTTTGCATCCTGTCAAAAGTTTTGTCATGGCTGCTCTAGAAAATCAACCTTTCACTCCGTGCCCAGTAAGGACATGATGACTATTTGTACAACACAAGGTAATGTACAAAGTATTTTATACTTGCAATGTTGAACATGCAAAATTTTGTGTTTGCTCCAATAAAATGTAATCTTATTGAACCGACAACTGTTGACATTAATCTTTAAACATTTTTTATTTCCTTCTTCATCAGTGTTGTGAAGGACTACTATATAATTTACTCATTAATTTACTGTAGTATTCTTCTTACATACTGTAATAGTTACATGTATACAGTAAACTGCCATCCTATGTACATAATGTCTTTTTAGTTATCATGTTTATTAATCTTTT